TAAACCAGCTGTGGCCTGTAATGTCAGAGATGGTGGTACTTGGAAAATTAAGATGCTTCCTAAACAGACATACAAATGTATCCTGTGAATGAAGCCATCACTCCACAGGTGTGTGTGTGTGTGTGTGTGTGTGTGTGTGTGTGTAGAGCGTGTCGTGGCAGCGCTCCGGTGAAGAGATACCGGGCATAAATCAGGTGTGAGCTGCACAGGTAGTCATTACACCATCAGAGGTAACAACTGTTTCTCTCTCCATCATACATTCCTCCTTCCCTTCTTCCCTCAGGACACTATCAATATTCCTCTCTTGTCACTGGCTTAAAGGAAGCTGCTCTCTCTCTCTTTCTGTCTGTCAGCGCTGCCGTATACATCTGGAGCAGCGTAATTGCCCTGTAATATTCTGCCAAACACACCTTGTACCTCCTTGATATCTCAATCCTCTACTTTTTTCCATGACATTTGTTTTGAGAAGTCAGTCCTGACAGCTCCTGCGTTCAAACGCGCACAAACATACCTGTGTGTGTTTCTGTAGCTTATATGCAGATAAATGATTCAAATCAGTCATAGCTCAAATAATTATGTCCATTACATTACAAAATACAGTTTTATCAATATTTACATGCTGTCAAAGTCTTCTTCTCCTTTTTTTTTTTTTTTTTTTTTTTAATAGAATTTTTTTAAGAAAGGACACATTAAATTAAACAAAAGTGACATTAAAAACATTCATAATGATAATCAAATAAATGCTGTTCTTTTGAACTTTCTATTCATCAAAGAATTCTGGGGGGAAAATGTCTCAATTTCCAGAAAAAAATATTAAGGTACAAAAACTGTATAAAAAAAAGTTTGTTTTCAGCTCTGATAATAAAAAAAAAAAGTTTATTCAGCAATCGACATAATGAATAATTTCTGAAGGATCGTGTGACACTGAAGACTGGAGGAATGATTCTGAAAATTCAGCTTTGCATCACAGGAATAAAATACATTTTTAAATATATTAAAATAGAACACAATAACTTAAAACTGTAATAATATCTCACAATATTACTTGCAAAAACGTTAAAAATCTTGCAGACAAACGGTACTATTTATATATTTTGTCAGAATGCATTTCCCAGAATAAATTCTACTTCCTGTCATTCCAATTCAACTTCCTGTGGAGTATGCCCAATTCAATTGAATGTATTTGTTTTTCATGTCCATCTGACCACTTCTATCTGCTTACACTGATATTTATTGCTAAAATGAGAATATTGGTGTGCATCAATTGATACTAGACTTGATACTAGGACAAAGAAAACTTAAATTTAGTAGCAAGAATCACAACTGGCCTCTAGTTTTCCACTGGTTTCTTGTGATAGGTGCTCCAATTTGTTCTGAGTATTAAATAAACCATGAAGCTTCAAAAACTCTCAAACGCACAGTCTGAAATATTCATCAGCTTTGTTAACAAAGAGAGAGCGAGAGAGCATGTGCTCTTATAAACTCAACAACAGAGCCGAGAATAATAGATAAGAAACCAACACAATATTTCCCTGCTCATTTCTTCCTTTTCAACGATAAATTCATTCAAGCAGAATACTGTAGAACAACCATTCCACATGAAGATCATATAATTATCTATATCCGTCTTTTCTCCTCTCCACAGGCTTTTGGTAAACCGCAGGCTTGCCATAAGGAATCCGTGAACCCTGAGTGCCGGATTCACCGCGGGAGAAAATAACACAAAAACACTAAATGCAACTACTGATGATGATACAACCACAAATTCCTCAAATACTCAGATCTCAGCTGGAGCAGAAGCAACATTATACGGTTATGATAATTCTGCTTGAAATGGTATGTGCTTTCGTTCCAGGTCTCATAAATCATATTTTTGTCTTTGTCCTGTAGAGGACACGGTCATCGTGTGTCCTGCGTCCACTGGGAGAGTGTAAGATACATTAGTTAGTTTGAGTCAGGACATGTGTGCACTCATATCTGCAAACATGTGCACTTTCTGGGAACATGAGTGGACTGACCTACAGCAGAGTCTGTATTATGGGTTGTACATGTAGTCAATTAATTCTACCACTATACGATGCTATAGGTCTGTATAAAATCATACATTGTACTTGTCAGTTGCACAAAATTAATGTCTTCAAAACTGTTCAGTATCATATGCATATACTCTATATATGGTATTATACTCAACTTTACCTGAAGAAAGTGCAGCTAAAGCACTTTCAATTCACTAAGCATATTAAATACATATTATTGGTTTTGTGTTAAAGCGCCAGCTTTTCACAGAAAATGTGATGCTGTAATGATGAAATGAGCAGTGAGCAATACTAAACAAAGGAGATGAATATAAAACATTTCAGATCAGAGTCCAACCGAACACGTGGTAGCTGGGCAAAATCATCTTTACCTTCATAAGTTGGCAGCCAGCATTGGTAAAATATGCAAAATCAGAGCCAAGTAGCAAAACTGTGGCCCAATTTAGTCTCGACATCTTCCAAAAGACTAGAAGGACACATGAATGACTGAGGCAACCACACTAATTTCTACCAACAAGACCATCTAGACCTTGCCCATCAGGCCAGACTCGTTCTTTTGTGGCCTTCAGGTCATATGGTGACTTCAAATCATGTAAGATCAAATGTAGAAGTTGAATGCAAGTCGTAATTATGAATGGGATTTTCTTTAGTTTCCAAGTTGAGAGCATCACTGAGAAAACACGTAGGATGCAATAAATTATTAAAATTAATGTTTTTTTTTTCTTTTTTTTAATGAAACTAAGTTGCATATACAAAACACCATAGTGTTGTACAACTGTGATAGAATATATGATTACATTTACAGAACATTTATAAATTGAATAAAAGCATAAAAAAGCAAAAACATACCCTATGCACATTCTTTAGTCATCATTTTGTAGACGTAGAGTTAAAAAATGAATTAAAAAAATATTTTGAATTAAACTTTAAAAAATGTATTTTATGTAGAAAAGGTACATCATCATCTTGATCCGACCAAAGTTATTCGAACACAACTGATGACGTAATTGCTCAATATTTTTATGGGATGAATTTGCCATCATTATCTCTGGCCGCATGTGAATGTTAAACACCTGAAAATAAAATAAAGTAAAATAAATCGGTTAAAACAAAAGAAATAAATATGAAACTTAACTAAAATTTACATTAATTGTAGTTTTCCTAAACTCATAAGTAGCAGTATTTAAATATACGATTCTAAGCAAAGACACTCATTTATATAGACAACACCCAGCTGAGCATAATCTATCTGATTTGAACCTCTCATGCTCTTTCTGTCTGTTCCATTAACCCACTCCACCTTTGACCTGCCTCAGCTCGAAGCAGAACATCTCTGTTAATAGATGCTCTTGTATGGTTAAAGAGCTCCAGCGATTACCACTACAGGAGGGCATTCTGGAAAGAAAAGATCACTTTCTGCTTGTCTTGGCCGTGGCGGGATGCACAGGAAGAGAAAGCGGTATTACTCAAGACTTCAGCACTGATAAATGAGTTCTCCCATCAGCCCAGAAACAGTCATTTCCATTTCATTGCACTCCACATGTGGTTGTCACCGCCATCCGCGGCCGTGCCCCGAATCAGACAGAAAGCCCTTGTTGTCGAACCCAGAGCAAAGACGGATCCCGTGTTGGTGTTCTGGCACGATGTGGTTCATTTAGGACTTGTTTACTTGTGTAAAGTGATTATTAATTAGGTTTATAAAGGATTAAACTGTCGTTTATTTTCTCCCTTTAAGATGCAATTAATTTGTGCGTGTGGATTTGTGTGTGCGATTGTGACCTACTGACCTTGACTTCCTCAGCAGGGCACCGCATGCACTATTGACCAAACGATGGAGGAGATGAGAAATCCTGATTGGAGAGGAGCCCTTACCTTGAAAACACAAGCACACATGCTTCAGGCGGTGAGGTTATCTGAGGTCACGCTCTATTGTAAAGTATGTGTGAGGAATTCACTCCCTCTCTAACCTGATCTGAGGCAGCTTGACCTCCGAGAAACGCCGTCCAGCGCTGAATCTCTCAGATCAATCATAACAGCAGCACTGCGTGACTCTCGTTCAGATGTGAAGTCATGGGATATGAGATATAACTGTGCCTGGAGTGTGTGTCTGTGCGTACTTGTGATTATGAGGCTGTGGCAGAGATATGGGGTCAGGTTGTTTAATCTATATTATATCGCATGTATTGAACTCTTGTGTTTAACCCTTAAATGGTTTTTGTATCCTGAGGGAGATAGATATTGGAGAGCCTGGGGGAGGAACAGTGAGTGAGACAAAAATAATATACTCTGGTATCAAAACTCCATCTTTATCTAAATATAAAATGATAAGATAAAAACTATAACATTTAAAATAAAAAGCAGTATTTTGAAGACTATTTATGTTCCATTTAATGTGGTAATAGCAAATCATTTTTATGGTATTTTGTGAATAAACGATGGCAAAACAAAAACATCTGCCATTATATTAAATAATGGAATGCTAATTTGAAGACAATGAATTGAATAAATTATATATCTTGCATTCTGTGCCATAGTCAATCAAGGATTACTTGAAGGGATTGTTCACCAAAAAATTAGTCATCTACTCACCACATACCTTTTTCATACACTATCATACACCTTCAGAAGACGTGAAATATACTCTCTTTTTGGAGCTTGACAAGACCATGGTAAACATAAACTGTCATTGTATGGAAAAGCAGTCTGGACGTTCTGCTAAACATCCTTTTGTGTTTACCTGAAGGGAAAAAAATCATACTTGGTTTGACTGACATGGAGAGAGGAAGACAGAACTATTTTAAACTACTGTGTAAATTATTTCTTTAAATAATAAAGTAATTTTCTTTTCTTGGCTGCACAGTTAAGTAGAAATTAAAAGTTTATTTCAACACCATGGTCATTTTAAATATCATCATATGCCGTAAACAAATTACCTACAGTAAGACATTGCAAAAATACAAAAATAATGTAATTTACTCAGTGAAATTTAAATGCTTGGTTAAATATGTAATCTCAAAAGAGAATTCTACGTAAATAATCCTAAAGCACGCACAATCTCATGTACAAATAATATAAATATTTACATACATTCAACATGAATGCAATTTTATTCTTGGTTAAAATTAAAGCGCAATGAACTGGTGTTATGTTGCTTTGAAAAACGTCCCCAATCCAGACATTTTTAGACTGGAAAAATCTTTGTTTTGAACATTGCTTATAGATTTACAGGAATATAATTTTAGTATACCATACCTTGCCCAAAGGGGCTTTAACAAAACTAATAGATTCTGATGTATTTTCAAGATCAATCAAGATGACTGGTGTTCAAGTGGGCATTTTTGCAAAAGGTTCATTTTTAAATGGTAAAGAATCTGTGCGTCACTTTTTTTAAGGGACTGGTCCAAACGAAAACAATATTTCTGAAAGATTTTTTGCTTGACTGGTCAAGAGATGATTAATTTCTGTCTTTGTATTTGGTTTAGAGTTAATTTTAATCCACATCCAGAGGCTCCATGGGCATTGTGACCCGTCTAACCTCACACTCGATTCCAGGCCTCATTGGCACCTCTAGTGGTGGCGTCGGTTCCTGCTCTTGCGGAGCTCTTGAACATGCTTCCATTTGCCATTCTGTTTTTGCTTCTTCTCTTTGTGCCAGAGCGTTTCGCAGTACTCATCCAGAGAGCGCACAGGAACACTCAACCTGCGCAAGTAGTCCTTATAGCGCTGACGAGGTTCGGTCACAGGCGGATTATCTGATGATTCCCGTGTAGCAGGTTGGTGTGCTTGGATCTGCCCGCGGTCCAGGACGTGAAGAGAGAGGTGGAGGAGGGTACGGGTGAAGCTGTGCTCCTGGGAGGTGCAGAAGTATGAACCTGCGTCGCTACGCTGGAGCCAACGAATCAGCAAACCTTGCTCGGTTATCAGCACACGCTCATCTGGTTTGATCTGCAACAAATACACAGAATTACTGATTCTTTCATAAAAATCAACCATATCAACAAATACTTTCTTGGACACACACAACAGCTTAATCACAGCCAAACAGTGATTTTATGTGTCACTTGCTGGGTTTATTCTCATAAATCATTCTGCCCAGGATCCCACAGCGAGACTCCTTCAAGGTGAGAGATCAGTCTTTAACCTTGCGCTCCATTTCCTGCTGACCTCACATTACACCATCTGATTGATCATTAGAATCTAATTAGATAAATTAAACAAGCTGACCACATGTTAATGTTAATAAGGGAGAAAGACAGAAGAAAAAGGGGGCAGAGTAGTGTTATGCCCTTGGTCTTGTGATTTCAGGGTCTACTTTCAGCTTAAAGTGTTTGCATGATCTATTGCACTGATCTATATCCAAGGTGTCCATCTTTCTGGTGACCTCTGACATAGGAAGTGCTCTGTGTTCACTGCACACAAACCTGTTTGTGAAATCTGGTTAATTCATATGAATCAAAAAATTGTTCGTCACTTTGATTCACTTGATTCATCATTTAAAAAGTCCCTGTGTTTTTTTTTTTTTTTTAAGTGCAAAAAAAAACATCTTCCAAATCAGGTCTTTACCCATATATGATAAACCTATAATAACGATTTATATTTTAGAAGTGCCTGGACAGATTTCACAGGAAATTTCATATTATTATTCATTATTCATATTATTTGCATGCTATTTGCCCATCTGTGTAACATTGTGTTCCTACACAGAAAAAAGTAGCTCAGCCTCAGGCTGTGGGTAGCGTGAAGCTGAAAGTTTGTTGTCATAACAAACAAGAAAAATTGACCATGGATCATTCAAAATGACAAATTTTCAAAATGTTTGTAAAAACAGCAACAAAAAAAGACGAGATGTTCTATATCCATCTGTGCACTGGTGCCTCGAACCACATTTATCCATGCAACGTTATTTAGTAAGAGTCATGCAGATTTAGTTTTAAATCATAATGGGTCAAAGTTATACAGTGTAGTTTTAAAGGCTGCTGATGTCACAATCTTTTTGATTTAGTTGTATAAATAAAGCAGATTTAGCTTTGACACAATCTGTATTATTAAAAGCGCTATATAAATAAAGGTGACTTGACTTGACTTGACTTTATTATAAATTTAGGTTCAAGGCTGATGCACTTAAGCAAAGAAAGATCTCTTTTCACAGATTTCGATTTAGTCAAATTAATCAGTTTTGCTGAATCATTTAAAATAACTGATTCAAAATAACAATTTATTCATAAATCAGTCATCTCCACCATTTTAAATCATGCTAATATTTTCTAATATTTTCTTTCTGTAAATATCAGTTTTCCATCTCTTCACCTCCCTTCCCTTCCGTTCCAGGCTGCTTATTCTTTCTCTCTTAAATTTTTTTCTGTTATCCGTGTTTTTGAGCCTACTGATTTCTCCTGCTAGTCATGCTGTTGTCGTGGACTAAATCAATACAGATGTGCAATAATAAGAGGAGGGAAAGAAAGCTTCAAAGCATACTGAATCCCTGTAAAACGCACACAAACCGCTTACCGCTGCATCGTCTTATGCTAATCTCTCTGCCATCTAAAGGACGCTTCAAGGAAATGCAATAGCCATAATTGCACCAAACAACTCTTTATATACTTGCATTTTAAATTTGGAGTGTGACTTTTAAGTGATACCTTGCAGAAACGTGCCAGGAATGAGAGGAAATAGGGCGGTTTCGCACTGTCTGCAGCACCTGTGACAGCTGGAACTAAATCAGAAAGGCTAAGGGCACATGAGTGTCAAGATGAAACGCGTGTGTATGTCATGGAGATGTTCTGGTGTGTGGGTGTGTTTTAAGTGAATGTGTGTGTCTGTGTTTCGTATATCGGCAGTATATCACGGCGTGTAACTCCCGCTGAAGGTTTTATTGGAGGGCAGGAGGAAACTGGCCTCTGATCACAGATGCAGGTTTAAGTGCAGCATCGGTCTCAGTGCCGGGTCAAAGGTATTAAAACCATGATACGAGGCCTCTGTCTGTCTGCGGCCCCTCCGCACACTGCTGGGTCTGGCTGTGGGTTTTGAGAAAAAGAGAGAAGGTCTGGAACCTTCAACACAGGATCTGTATCACATCTCAAACACTAGTTGGCCTGCCGGTGACCCACAGTCCTATGGGAAATTATATTTAGTTGTAAAAAGAGGGTAGTGAAGAGCGTGGAAAAAATGGGTAGAGGGATGGAGGGAAAAAGAGGGAGAGAAGGCATGAATGAGTGAGAACAGCCCTGTTTAGAATTGGTAGTCAATAACAGGTTCTTATTCATATTTTTTAAATAATACTGGCAAGATTTTCATGACGTTTGGTTCTGTTAATAGTTCCAGAATGTCAGCTTGTCATAATAAAATATGCTGCATACTTAATGCTTTTAAACTTTAGACTAAAACTTCGCTGTTGTCATGTCGGCCCTGCATCATTTGGATTTTATTTGAAATATCACCTTTTCAAAAATGTAATTATTCATATTACTTCGAATTAGCATACAGTAAATCTGTTAATCGTGAAAACAATTCAATTGAATTAGTTGAACATGGTTCAAATATGGCTAGATCAAGCAAGATTAATTTAGTTTTAAAATGTATGAGATTGGTTTTCATAATAATTTTGATTTATTGATGATAAATATATAAACCTAGTTAAAGCATATTTAATACACATTCAGGGTATTAGCACTATGACTTGAGTCAAGTCAAGTCACCTTTATCTATATAGCGCTTTTAACAATACAGATTGTCAAAGCAGCTTTACAGTATTAAATAGGAAAATAGTGTGTGATAATGCAAAAGGACAACAGTAAACACTCAATTTTCAGTTAAACTTACTCTTTCTTGTTTCATTTATGCAATTAAAATACATAAATCTTAACATAGGCCTAATTATTTTTAAGAGTGTATCACCTGTGCATGCCTTTAGACTTTTTTTTTTTTTTTTTTTTTTACAACAAAATCAATCCAAGTCAGTTTAGGCATTTTTTAAGAATTACGTAACAAGTTAATTGTTTTTATAGAATTGTTAAAGAGCTAAAATCAGAATTAGAACCAGAATAAAAAATTTCTCTACAGTTCCCATCCCATAGTTCTCTTGTTATGTTCTCATCTATGTGGGATATGAAGGGTCCATTCTGTTATTGCAACCAGATATCTGTTTACTCTGATTCGATAAACATTCACACAAACACCCAAGTGCTGTTTTCTCTTCTATCATTCATTATTGTCTTTTACAAGGTGAAGTGTGGGCTGATATTTTAAGATTGCACCACACGTGTGAGATTGTGCGTGTGTTGCAGGTGTTTTGGGCAGCTGTGTGGTAGGGAGTCGTTTTGTGCTGTGGGAAAGGCAGGAGAAAGAAAGGAGGAGAAGAAAAGCAGGAAGGGAAACTAAAACAAAACAAATGCATCATAGCAGGAGTAATGTTTACTTGAGATGTGGGACAGCAGGATATTTCTAAAAGCAGGAAACGACACGTTTTTTCTCGAATTGCATCTACCCTGTGACATTTGTGCTGAGATTTGTCCTTCTGCTGCCTCCCCAAACGGGTCTTCAAATCTCCTTCTGCTGCCTCCCCAAACGCGTCTTCAAATCAATTCTCTCTCACACACACACACACACACACACACACACACACACACACACATACTCCTGTTGGGACTAATTGTTGTGGTGATGGATCAATAAAAGGATATGCTGATCTACCACTCCAGAGTCAGGTCTTGGCCCCCGTCTATTCATCACAGCTAATAAAGACAAGAGACACCCATGGCACAAGGTTAAATTGACCTCTGTATCCGCACTATGAACTTTCCACTTCACACATAGCTCCATTACTACTCACTTGAAAGGACTGCTGTTCACAAATGCTGCATAAATCTGTTTTAGAAGATAGCACAAATATACTCCCTCGGGCAGTTTAAAGGGACAAAGGTATCTGAAAGATGAATGTATTTGTTTCTAAAGTAAGATATGCATGTCACCCAGGTGCGTGACACACCATTAGAAACTCATAGTTCAGCATCACACACCATGATATGGGTTAAAATGAGAGCCAACTTCTCTCCAAAACGGTGCCAGTCTGAGCGTTTTGCAATAAAGAAATAAAAACAACTAAACTTAATCATTTATGTTACAATTCTGACATAAATGCACATTGTTCTAGAAGGATGGCAAATTCATGCCATACCTTTTACACATTTACTCGAATTGTTATGCAGATAATACAATTTGTAAGGAAAAATGCATTAAATAGCGAGGTATTTCTGGGGAAACTTTTTCAAAGGAAAACACA